CTTCTTAAAATAACTTAATTTTAGAACTTGATTCATTAAAATTTTTCTTTAGATCCTGTAGTGTAAGAAAAGTTTTACATAGAGTTCTTTTCAGCTTGAATGGGGTGTGATCTCTGAGGAGAAGGACAAAGCAGGATTCTGGTACTGTATTTGCCGTGTATAACGTGCTCCTTTGTATTATGCACACCCATGTTTTTGGCCCAAACTTGCAGTAAAAAAATCTTTGTCTTAATTTTTTAAAATTCAATTATTTATTTATTTATATTTAGATACTTGTGTTTTTTTTTTTGTACTATAAAGGAATTTTAGCATTTATTTTTGAACATACTATGGTACAAGAAATTTTATGTAAGAAATAATTACAAAACACAAGAACAGATACAAGGTATTTCAGGTACTACCCATGTATAATGTGCATCCTCATTTTTCCTTCAAAAATTTGGGCAAAAAATGCACAGTATATGTGGCAAAATACAGGTAGTTTCCTTTTTCTTTTTTTTTTCCCTTTCTTTGCTTTTTAAGTGGAGAGCAAAGAGAACATGTTTTAAGTGTCCCAGTTAGAGGAGATTATTGTATCAGTGTTAATTTGAAGAGAGAATATCAGGCAATATGAAATTATCTGTTAGTCATTGTTAAACCTGCAAGGTGGTGGTGGTGGTGGTTTCCCTGCCTTTCCTGTTTTTGTTTTCATCCCTGAAATGGCCTTTTGGTAATCCAGGTAGTGTGGAGAGAAGAGCACCGTGTTGGGAGTTGGGAGACTCCCCTCCACCCCTCATTTAACTTTTAATTCCTCATCTTTAAATGGAGAGAATTGGATGAGTGATCCTCAAGATAACTTTTAGACCCTAAAATGAATTCTAACCTCCCTTGTATACATACTTGTCAAGATTTAAGGGAGGATATAATATAATTTATTGATTGATATTTTCTGAATATTGCTTATGTGTTTACCACTGTGCTCATGGCCTGGGTTGGCTTTACTTGTCTGTTTGAGGTGCAAAGGGAGAATTTTAGGGAATATTTTTAAAAGCAAAATGAATGAGCTTAGAGGCAAAAAACAAGGCAAAAGAACTGGAAGGGGGTACCTGTTGGAATCCAAGTGGAAAGCTGGCTGTACAGTTCATTCACTGACTATTTCTTGAGCATCTATTAATGGGCAAGATTGGTAGGTCTAAAAATACAGTACATGTAGAGACTTCAACATATATAGCAAGGGAACCTCACTACTTCTGTGTCTCCTTGACTCGGACTGTTGTACTGCAGCACCACTTCACTTCAGGCACCAGATGTGGGGGTTTTCCACCCAACACGCCATTCAGTGACACCAGCCGGGTGTCCTGCAATTTAACTCAATTCTCACATTGTCTACTTGAGGATGGCATTGGATCTCATAGGTTAGGAGCTCAGTTCCACAAGTTTGTCCTCACCCTGACCCCATGACCTTCTCAGGCTGATTAATTTGCTAGAGTAGCTCACAGAACTCAGGAAAACATTTTACTTGCAATGTAACTGGCTCATTACAAAAAGACAGAGCCAGATGAAAGAAATGCATAGGGCAAGGTATGTGGGTAGGGGTGTGCAGCTTCCCCGCCCTCTCAGGGCACACTACTGTCCCAGCCCCTTCACCCGTTCATCAGCTTGGAAGCTCTCTTAGTCTTTTGAGTTTTTGTAGAGACTTTGTTACATTGGCACAGTTGATTCAATCATTGGCCATTGGTGGTTGATTCAGCCTCTAGCTTCTCTCCCCGCTTGGAGGTCAGGGCAGGGGACTGGATTAGAGGGCATACCCTCTAATCATAATTGGTTTCTCTTATACCAGTTTTGTTCTCACTTGTTTAAATTATAAAACACATAGAACATTTTTTTTTTTTTGCAAATGATGCAAGTGGTATAAAAGTTATAGGGTAAAACATGAAAGTCTCATTTTACTCTTTTCCCTCAATTGAAAAGCATAGATCCCTTTCCTTTTCAGAAGGACTGTTTTCATTGTTTAACCGTCTCATCCTTCTTTTATGAATTTATGAAAATATTTGGACATAAACATAATAGAATTTTTAAAATATAAGTGGGGTTGTGCTGCACTTAGACATGACTTTAATTTCTTTGCATGTTAGTTATATAACTAGCTAAGTGTCCGTAGTTAATTCATCCCCAGTTGAACACTGACGTTTTTCCTAATTTATGCTGCTAGACATGGCAATGATTAACATTCTTATACATCCGTGGTCGCAGGCACATGCCATGAGTATTTTGTATGTTTTATAAGATAGATTACTAGAGGTGAAATTGCTTTGTGAAAGGGAATATGCATTTAAAATTGGCAAATATTTAATCATTTTTTTTTGAAATACCTGGATTTGTTTTGCCAATGTTTCATTGAGCAGTTTTGCATCTTTAATCATAATTGACAAAGAGCCTATCCTGGATTCTTTCACATGCAGTGAGCTCGGGGAATTGAATATTTTTGTAATAAGCAGAAATTGGCCTACTCCCCCCCCCCCCCCGCCAGGAGATAACTACCACATCTGTCAGTTGCTTGCTGCCAACAGTCCTGAGAGACGGCCTGGGGAAAGAGCAGTCAGGGCCTTGCCTCCTTGGCGCACCAGGCGAGGGCATGCAGGGATGCTCAGGGCCCCAGGCAGGCTGTGTCTCTGGTCATCAGGGCTGGTATTCTCTAGGAGCAGTCAGTGGTGTCAGCCAGACACGTGGGAATCATCCCTGTCATCTTGTTCCTCTTTTGTTTACCAAATCCTATGAATTTTAGCTCCTAAATATTTTTCAAATAATTCTACGTTTTTTCTTTTTCTATCACCACCTCCCTAGTCTTTTATCTTCTACGTGTACTCCCACTTTGGCCTCTTAACAAGTATTCTTGCATCTACTCTTGCCGCCTTCCAGTCTATTTTCCTATACTTGAACCAAGAGTGATCTTTTAAAAACACAGATATGCCCTTGCCACCTGACTTACGTAAAACATTTTATTGGTTTTCCATTGCTCTTACCATAGGTATCAAAGTCTTTAACATTGCCAGCAAGACTTTTCATGGCCTGGCTATTGCCTATTTTTATAGTCTCATCATTATACCACTTTCTTCCTTGGTCTCTGCAAGGCAGGTATACTGGCTTTCGTTTAGTTCCTTAAATATGTAAACATATTATATGTGCTACTGCATCTTTAAACATTTTATCATCTTTTCCTGTCTCTTAGTTTAGTTAATATGTCAGACTTTGTATCTGATACTTTTTACTATTTCTACTGCTTCAATCCTTGCTAAAGCCACTATGAGCTTAATCTTGGATGGATGATAGCTGTGTCATGGTCACTGTGTCCCCTCCCTCTTTCCTTTCTAAAGTTCCCCCTTTGCATAGCAGCCAGGGTGGTCATTCATTCTAAAGCTTGAAACATCATTTCCCTTCCCTGACTTGAGTCTCAGTGAGGCCCAGCTTGCTTTACATCGATTGTAAGATCTCATTCATTTATTCAGCAAACGTACTGAGCATATGTGCTAGACACTATAGGCACTGGGGCTTTGGCAGAGTAGAGAAATAAATATTTGTCTTTTGAGAGCTTATATACCAATGGGTAGAGAGAGACAAGAAAAACCTAAGTACGAGTGACATAAGTAGGAGGTGAAGGTTTGTAAGTTTAACTGGGATGTCAGGGATAATCTCACAAAAAAAGTAACATTTGAGCAGTGACCCTCAGTTGAAGGGAGAGCAAGCCATGCAGTTAGTTGGGGAAGAGTTTCCTAGGCAAAGGGTCAGCAAGGGGAAAGGTTCCGAGGCCCCCGCAGAGTGGAGCGGTGTGTTTGAGGAGCGGCTGGGAGGCCAAGTGGTGGGCGTGGTGAGTAAGGAGAGAATAGGAAGTGAGATGAGGAGGGTCTCCTTATCCCAGGGAGGATCAGGTTCTGGCCTTGTACTCAGCTACTACAATTTAGGTTTTTATTCAGGCAGGTTGGAAGGTTTTAGTGGCTGGTGGGTTTTAGTGACATGGTCTGACCAATTATAAAAGCATCATTCGCTGCAGTGTTGAGAATAGACTTATGAGGGATGAGGCAAAGACGTAGTCAGGGAGCTGAGGTGGGAGGCCATTGTAATAATCTAGTGAGAGATGACGGTGTGTTACACCAGGGCATCGGGAGGGGAGGTGGTAAGAAGTCGTCAGATTTTGGATGGCTATTTCAGGTAGAACTGACAGAACTTGCATTTTGCATCAAGGGATGTGAGAGAGATAGCAGAGGCAAATTTGACTCTTAAGGTTTTTGTCCTAAGCAAATAGGCTGCTGGATGTGCCATGAGGAGTGGTGAGAACAGACATCTTTGCTTTGTTCTTGATAATAGGAAGGTAATAGGAACAAAATAGTAGATTCAGTCTTTCCAAATTAAGCATGATACTGGCTGTGTGCATTTTTGCAGATGGCTTTTCATTAGGCTGAAGTTCCCTTTTTTCCCTGATGTGCTCAGTCTTTTTAAAAATTATGAATGTTTGGCTATTGTATTTTTTTTCAATATTTGTTAAGAAAATCACATGGTTTTCATTTAGTTGTTGATATTGTGAATTGTATTGATTTTCAAAAGTCTTTTTAAAAACATTACCACCAGTTAACATCTTAAGTTTTTGACTGCTGCTTATAAAATTCCACACCTGCATATTTATTACTTTAATACCTCTCTTCTCCATGGCTCTAAAAACCACCAGCATACTGTATGCTCCACTTACTTATTTATATATTCTGGTCATCCCCAGTGGAACAAAACATAAGTTTCCTGTTTTGTTCTCTGGAACCTACAACATTGTTGGGACTAACGTAGGATTCTGTAAATATTTGTTGAATGACCGAATATCTGTGCTTAATGAAGTTCATAGTGTAGGAAGGGAGAAAGAGCAACAAAAATAAAAGGTGTGATACATTTTAGGAAAACCATAAATAAAATTCTGTGGGAGCTCAAAATGGGAGAGATTAAGTTCATGTAACATTACTTTTCTTTTTTCCTACCAGATTTAAAAGAAGATACGTCCAGGAAAAGCTTATTTAATGATGCAGAAAGTAAGAAGAATTCAATAAAAATGTGGTTTAGTCCTCGAAGTAAGAAGGTCAGGTACGTTGTAAGTAAAGTTTCAGTGCAAACTGAGCCTCAAATGATAAATGATGAAAATGCTCAGCAGGCCTCAGCGTACGAATATGTTTCTACAAGTCCTCCAGTGGATGTTTCCGTGAGGGCTAAAAAGGCTTCTACAAGATCTGGAAAAAGACAGAAGAAGAAAACTTTAACTAAAATCAACCAAGAATGGAATTTAGATGTAGATAAAAAAGATGGTCAACTTGACTCCAAAGAGGAATCTAAGGAAAAGCTGGTATCTTTCTGTATCCAACCATCAGTTATTGCTAGTCCTCAGAGAAATGGTGAAATAGACTTACTAGCAAGTGGCTCCGTAGCAGAAGATGAATGTGTTGGAAACTTAACTGAAGTCTCTCTGCCATTGGCTGAGCAAATAGAGTCACCAGAAATTGAGAGCAGGGATGAGGTAGTGATTCTTGAGAAGAATCCCCCTGAAAATGACCTTACATCTAAGAAATCTGTGCCCGTAAGTCATAAAGGAAAACGTGGGCGTCGCAGGAGACCGTCCAGTCCCATTTCTAAGAGACGTAGGAGCAGCACTCCCAGCACCAGTAGAAATTTTGTGAAGCAAACGGTGCCCTCAGAAAATATGCCAAAACCCGGCTCTTCCTTGCCATCTTCAAGCAACCTTAAAGTCGGTGGCACAGGAAGGAGAAGAAACAGTGACGCATTAGATGAATCCATTAGCTCTTCACCAGGTACACCACCACCTGCACTGAATAGTACAAGTTACAGACGGATGCTGCCCAGCCCCTCAGCCACGAAGCTGCCACCCAGTAACCTTACGGCTGTGAAAAGAAATCATAAGGGAGAGACTTTGCTCCATATTGCTTCAATTAAGGTATGAAGCTTACTTTGAAGTGCAATTTCAGAATGAGACCAACTATTAAACAGTTTCTTTGGATGAGTTTGCAAAAAAATGGGACAAGTTTGCCAGGATAATTAACCTACCACAGATGTGGTACTCTTAAAGACTGAATGAGAAATAAAACTCACAGGGGCTGCATGCCTATGTTCAGTAACAGCAGTGGCTCCTGAGCCTCAGGACCGTGATCTTGTAGGAGAAAACCAATGTTTCAATATTATAGCTTTTACTTTGGCAAGTGCTTTCATTTTTGCCTATTCCATAATGCTTTTGTTCAGTTTTCACCATTTTGTTTTATGAATATAGGCAAGTGCCAAGTTACTGCTGGCAACATGCCTTTCTTAGCAAAAGAGGTAGGGGCATTGTGAGAGGTGGCAAGTTTCTGTATATTTGAATCTCCTAGGGGGGCACTGCTGGATTTTGGAAGGTTGGAAGATGTGATTGTTGTGTTTCCCCCAATGACCAGGATGTTCGGCTGTGAGAAATGGCTCCTGTGGTTCACCACAAAGGAGTTCTCTGTGCCCCGGAGCCAGCAGCCCCTTTCACTAGCCTCTTTATTGAAGTTAATTCTTGTTATTTATTGCCTCAACTCTTGGGGTGTGGCGGTGTTTGTTTTGCAGAACCTGGCTGGTTTTTGGAGTATGAGGTGGATGGTCTTTGAAATTGACACAGGTACTGCATAGCTATGTTATGAAAATATGACATGGGAGAGCTTAGTACTAAATGAAATAGGTTTTTACAATCTTCCTCTAAATTTTTTGGGCAATCCTTGGATCTTTCACATGGATAGAGAACTAGGGCGGTCTGGAAGGAACCCCTTCGGGAGGTTGGTGACATAAAACATCTAGGAAGAACTTGGAGTAGACATTGAGTCCAGGGACCTCCTGTATTTTTGTGTGGAGAAAGAGAAAAGCACAAAAATGAATTTCTCCCAACTGTTAGTGTTTTATTATTTTCCTTGCTTTATCTTCCGTTGAATGATGAAGGTAGAATACTCTGTATTTGATGCAAGTAGCGGGGAGAACCTCCAGTATGACCACATGTTCTGAATTACATGTCCTTTGAACAACTTGAATTTTCAGAGTCAGCTCTGGTTATGTTTTAGTTTGATTTTTGCAAAGCATGTTTTTAAAAAAAAGTCAGACTATATATTTTTGTCTTTGTTTTTATATATAGTATATACATATATGCATAATATATACACATAAGCTGTTATAATCTTACATTATAATGTTATTAATGCTTCATGGACATAAGTGGCTAGTTTAATAATTATTTTCTGTTCATTTTTCTTAATAATACATAAGAATGTGGCTGCTTTAGTTTCTGCATTTTGCTTTCTGGGAATTATTTTCAGACCACCAGGTAAGCATCCACTTACACTGGTAGAGAATATTTCTTTTAACCATGCGAATAATTTATCTTTATTAATGAGGATCTCTAGGACCTAGAGTCTAGGCCATGGTTTGGCAAACTACTCCCTAAAAGGGCAATTAGAGTAAATATTTTCAGTTTTGCTGGTCAAATAGTCTCTATAACAACTACCCAACTCTGCCGTTGTAGTGCAAAAGCAGCCATAGACAGTATGTAAACCAATAAAACTTTACATACAAAATCAAGAGTCTGGCCTGTAGGCCATAATTCGTCTCCCCCTGGCCTAGGTCATGGGAAAAAGCAACAGTAGAATCTTCAAACAGGAAAAAATGGTGGCATGATGCGGCTTGTGAATTTTCTTCATTGAAGATTAGTTCATACAGTATTGTCAGATTGTTGGTTTACTAAGAGTCTTGCCAGCATTGGAATTACCCATTTTGATTCTCTTGAACATACCAAATGCTGTTATTGTCATTAGTTGGCAGATTCTAATACAGTACACTTATAAAAAGCTAATTGATTTCTATTGGTTTTTAACTGCTATTTAATAATGGTGTCTCTTAAAAATTTATTATGAGTTGAATGTATGCTCCCCACCCAGTTTGATTTGAATAGAACAAATATTTCTAAGAAGCACAGTGGATTTATTCGTATATTTTTCTTTTTATAAATAATATTTATTTCATTTTTACCCTAATTTTTTCGTTTGCAGCTGAAAATGAATAATTTATTTGCATTAGAAAACCAAATGCTGTCATTCTGCTATCTTAATTTATGTTTTGCACCCATCAGCCTGAGAAGATTAGAGGGTGCTCTGAAGTTAAAACTGCAATAAAATGAGCAAGGAATAGGGAAGGGGAAAGAGCTCCTGCCGCTGAATAATGAATATAGATTTGATGACCTTTCAGACAGGCAAAGCAAATAAGGGGAAGGACCAGGTTTTTTGCTGTCAAAGATTTTTTGTCATTGTTGTTTATAGTTGTTATTTTTCCTTGAAGTGTCTTGGCAGACTGGCATTTTCTGCGTTTCCATCGTCCCCTGAGATTGGAAGAGTCACAGTCGCACGATGCCTGCTTGGTGATGCACGGAGGGCAGAGGACCCTGCAGCACTTTGCATGGGCGTCCCCGCTAGGTAGCTCCTCTTGCTGCAGTGATGGCTTTATAGATTGGCCTCCGAACTCGGCAGCATTATTAACCAACTTCTTTACTGTCTTGCTTCGAACCTACCTCTCTAGGCATCTTTGTTGGCCACAGCCTTTCATAGCTACAACCCTAGTGGAAGCTACTTGTCATTTCTTGCCTTGACCACCTGTGTTAGTTTCCTGTTGCTGTCACAACAAATTCCTACAAACTTAGTGACTTAAACCAGACAAATTTATTTTCTTAGGACAGAGGTGTGGTAGGGTCTCATCAGGCTAAAATGAGTCTGTCAGCTGTGTTCTCTTTCTGAGGCTCCACAAGAGAATCCATTCTTTGATAATTTGGTTTGTTCCAAGGAGCTGCATGTTCCTTGTGGTTATAAGACTGAGATCCTGTTTTCTTGCTGGCTGTCAGCTAAACACCTTTCCTAGATTCCGGAGGCTGCCACCATTCCTTAGTTTGTGTCCCTCTTCCTCTGTCTTTAAAGCCAGCAACAGAGAGTAGTGTCCTCACATCATCTTCCTGGCCTAGCCAGGAAATGCACGCTGCCTTTAAAGACTCCCAGAACACTGGGGCCGCCCTGGCAGGGCAGGATAGCCTCTCCCACCCAGGACCCAAACCCTTTATCATGCTGCAGAGTCCCTTTGGTCATGTAAGGTAACATCCAGGTTCTGGAGATGAGGGCATAGAGAGGTTTGTGTTTTTGCGGGGGGTGGGGGGGGTCCTAATTCCAACCACACCAGGAACTATTTTCTTGCTCTGCTTTCTTGCATTCAGATCTCTATTTGACAGCCATGGTAACCTGACCTAAGTTGGAACTTGCCATTTCTCAGCTCCCTACCGGTAACTTCCTGGCCTACTTGAAATGCAACCCACAGGCCTTCCCGTGTCTGCATAGCACTATGAACTCTCATTTTAAAATTTAATTTCAAAATATTACATTTACTTACTAAATTTTATTTCATATTAGCTTCATGTTTCAAAAATAAAAAGTAGAGTATTTATAGTGGAAAGCCTCACTTCCATTTCTGTCCCAGCCACTATTGCCGACAAATCCTTCCTGCTAATGGCCTTCCTTATTTTCTAGTGTGTCTTTTGTAAATTTCTTTATGCAAATAAGCAAATGCTCTCCATATTACACAGTTTTTCTACACGTTTATAGTAGTATAGCTTTCCATGAGTTTTCATTATTTAACTGGTTCCTTATCGATAGATGGATGCCTGTTTTTTTAAAATTATTTTTTAATTTTTTTATTGTTCAAATACATTTGTCTCCATTTTCCCGCCACCCCTTTCCCCTGCCCCACCCACCCCCACCTCTCACCCTCAATCCTTCCTCCTTCCATGGACAAAGCCCAAGGGTCCTGTATTTCTTTCTTTTGCTATTACACACAGCATGGTTGTAAGCAATCTTTGTTTCACATGTGAGCAGGTATATCTTTTGGTTAAATTCTGAGAAGTGGGACTTCTAGATTAATGTAAAACAGCTGTTATCTTATTTATCTTGGGAATAGAAGGATCTTATGAAACATCCAAATTGCCTAAATATTCAGGCTGCCAGAAGGTAGAGAGATCATCAGCAGATACTGTCTGGACTATCAATTCTCATATCCGTTTTCCCTCAGGATCGTGTGCGTACAGGCGAGCTCGCTAGTTTTTAGTTTTGGGGTATATTCAGCATCATTTGAATGAAAGCCTCACAGGACTATTCTCGAATACCTTTATTGTACTTTTATTTTGTTACACAATAGGGATGTCGTGAACATTCTCATTTAACCAGAACAAAAGTTGAGAAACATCACGCTATTATTCCCCATGTTTCTCTCTGAATGTGTATGTCACCTATGGTTAAAATGTTACTGAGAGCATGTTATAAATGAGAGATTTTATGAGAAAGCATTATGCTTAAGTAGAAACTAAGATATATACTCATATTGTTTATTCTTCTGATTTAATGAAAAAATACGTCAGTATTTGACATTTCTCTAGACATAAAGAAATTTTTGATTTGTTACTCTAATATGTCACCTTTGCTGGAAAAACCTCCCCAAAGTTCTCTAGTATAGATACTTAAAATGGTAATGATTACTCATAATTCATGTCATAGCAGTGAACGTATTATGAAATACAAGAATGGCTTGAAGTTGGCATGTCATAGGATGTATTTGTTATGCAGACATGACACATAATATTTTGAAGGAAACATACAAGGCCTGATGTGCTTAACATCACCAAGGTGATGAGGATCTCCTGGGCAGAGAGAAAGTCCCTAGTGAGGAGCTCCTTCAGGCTTCGACTTTGTGGTTCGTTATCCTTTAAGGCAGTCATGTTATATTGTGTGTAAAGCCACATTGTCACATGTCCTTCTTACTAGCTTCCTGAGACAGTCGCAAAGGACTCAAAAGCAAACTGGCATCTGTGATATTTTCAAGACTTTAATTTCTGGAACACCTCTTGGAGCCAGTATCCATTTTCTCCTCTGTCACTTACCATTTTTGTAATACCAGAAGTTTATGTTATGAAGACTGGTTGTCGGAATCATCTGTGAAATTATTTTATTGCGTTAACTTTGGCTCAGAATCTAGGGAAATGTTTAATATATTTTAGAGCTCCATTCCAGATGACTAGATTTTGATTTTAAATGACATCTAGTTGCTAAGAGAAGTTTTAGGTACTTGGTCAGTTCATATACATTGAAAGCTTAACCATTTTGGGTAACTCATTATTATTATTGTACTTAACCATAATATCCTGTACTACTTTTATAAAGATGTTTATTAATGGTATTTTGGAAGTGCTAACCTTTATAATAGGGACAACATTTTGTTTGTGTGTGTTGTTGTTGTGTGTTGTTTTTGAAATGTTAATTTATGTTATCGTATGCACGAATGTGTGAAGAGTCCTTTGGATGAAGGTTAGCAATAGGAAAATTCAAGGAGGCATGCTTCTTTATTTTCAGCCTTTAAGGGGTTATTTCAAAATATCTAATCCTTTTAAAATTTCTTAGAAGCCTTGGTAAATACTTTCCTCAGATGATTATTTTCTTGCCATGGTTTAAGAAAGAAAAATCTCAACTATTTTTTTTTAAGTTGTGAGGAGAGTAGAAGTGAGTGCTTATTACTCGGAAAATATTCTATTACAGAAGAAAGTAATTTAAAGAAATCAGAAGCAGAAGTTAATTCATTTCCTGGAAACTTCATATTGGTTCAAGCTTACCCAGTTACTGTGGACCCTATCTAATTATCATAATTTTATTTATGTGCATGACATTAAATTTACATAAAAGAGAAGGATGAAAATATGACAAACTTTTAAGTACTAGGGAAGAGAAGGAAGGTTGGGTATTAAAAGCAAGCAGTTTGCATATCAGCTGTATAGTTCAGGGGAGTTTAGGGGTACAATGTTAACAAAAGACATCTCTGATTTGATATGAAAAGGTAACATGAAAGAAGAATACTACTGTCTAGCAGCCTTACAGGATATTCTTTTAGTCACTAAATTGTCACTCTGTCCCTATGTGACGCTTCCTGTGTGACTCTCCACAGTTTTGTTTCTGTTATTTTTATAGGCTTCTTTAGGTGAATGTGGTTTTACGTTTACCACGTAATTAGAATGAGAAAATTTTTTAGAAGGTTTTTGTCCGCTTCTTGTGTTTACTTTCATGTGGAAGGTAGGGAATACATGTTCCGGCTATTCATCTACCCCAAATTGTTTTAAAAATTCATGTTTGTATCTTGACAGGTTTTCCTGAGCTCATTTGGAACTGGCTTGAATATTAAAGCAAAAGTTGCTAAATACATGTTAACTTGCACAAGAAATACAGAATTTTCACCCCTCAAGAACTATGGAAAATGCTTTTTAATTTAACTGGAACATTTGATTTGAAACATACCATGCTTATTTTTTAGGTGCATTGAGTATTTAAGGTCATTTTGTTAATTTAGGAACAAAGGAAAATATATGTTTCATGTGGATTTGTTTTTTAGAAAACTAAGTAAGCTACTATGTTAAGATATTCTGTATCTGAGCCTGGCCAGGTGGCTTCATTGGTTGGAGTGTCGGCCCATGCACCAAAAGGTTGTGGGTTCAATCCCTGATTAGGGCACATACCTAGGTTGCTGGTTGGATCCCCTTTTGGGGCGTGTGCAGGAGGCAACCAATTGATGTTTCTCACATTCTGTTTTTTTCTCTCTCTGTCTCTCACTTCTTCTTTCTCTGAAATCAATAAACATATCCTCAGGTGAGGATTTTTTAAAAAGTTAAAAACTAATAATGCTGTTTTAAGGGGATCTTAATGACTTCAACATTATCAACCTATAGAGGACAAAAACTCATTTCAGAAGAGTATTGGGGCTAGGAGTGGGAGAGGAGAGATTTTGTTTTCACTAAGGAGGTGCTTCACAAGACACGACATTGTCATAAATAACTTTGGTCAAATACCAATTTTAAAATTTAGTTTCCAGAGAAATCTCTATTTCTTTTGGAGAAAATAAGCTTTGCTTCTGCCTAGAAATATATATTTGAATAAATAAGGTGAATATGAGCTACATTAGTGTACTAAGGATAGACTAACAGTCCATAAGACTGTTTTTGGCAGTTTTAAATATAATTTTACTGAGCAGCCTTCTTGGCTTTAGTTATCTTTTAAACAATACTGAGAAACCATTTTTGTGTATGCTCAAAATATCTAATCCCTTTAAAATTTTTTTTTTATAAATGAGATGCCTTTAAAAACTTTATTATGATCAGATGATCTGTGGCTGGTGTCATTTATTTGTTATTTTGAAAATGCATTTCAGCGTGGGGAGCTTATTGCAGAGATTTTGTACTCTGTAGTCAAGAATGAACCGTCTGAGTTCCAGGACTTGGTACCTCAAAATAATTCATACAGAACTTACTAATTATTAACTCATGAGCAGTAGGCATAAGGCATAAGAGAAAAAAATTGTTTTATCTTAAAGAAGCAGAATCTTTAAAAAAAAAACCTCAGTATTTTATTTTTTCCATTATGATGTTCAATTTCTTATTTATTTATTTATTTTTTATTCTTATGCTAGGGCGACATACCTTCTGTTGCATACCTCTTACAAAATGGAAGTGACCCGAATGTTAAAGACCATGCTGGATGGACGCCGTTGGTAGTTTTCTTCTTGTTTGCGTTTTATTCCCATTCTGTTTATGTTTTATAGTTATTATAGTTTACAGTTAATGTAGTCTGTATATCATTCTCTGCCATATATACACTCTTTTTAACCTAAAAACTTGTATTTTCAGCAAGTAAGAGAAAATAATTATTTTTCATTTAGCTCCTCAGTTGTGACAGGCACAAAATGAACTACCTTTTGACTGTCTTTAGATTTAGGAAACTAGTTGCACCACACCATATTGCTGAATTTAGCAAACGTGTGGAGAGGTAACTTCCACAGCCAACATCAGGCTCCATTCTGTAGCATTGCGTGTAATTGGAAACATTTTCTGGAACGGAGAGAGGTCAGAGGAACTGGGTGGGTTAGGAATGTATCACAAGGGACTGAGGATCTGTCTCGGCCTCACTTACATACCCTATCCAATTCCAAATAAATAGAGGCAGTAAAACTTTTCTTCGTTAATCATTTTTAAAAGTCTCTGCTTCTTACTGCTAAAATGCAGCATGAAGAATAGTCTGGGAAAAGAATGGCACAAATACATGGCAACAAGTGCTATATGGGCGAATTATATTAGGACAGTAAGCATGTGATTAGAGTACAGCCGTAGATGTGTCAGCAGATGAAATGTAAGCCCTTATCCTGGGAACTGGAAATTCACAAGAATTGTAAGATCCTCAATAGGCCAGGTGCAAAAAAGGTTTAAAGTGGTACATAATGACCTCTCTGCCACACTTAAGCTGGGAGGGTTTAGACTGGATCAGTCTTTGTTGTTTGGACTCTATGGACTGGCTAACCTTTTCAAAGAAAAGTTAATTTTTTTTCAGCCACTGAGGCAAATTGTAGTAAAAGTTGGTGAGTGATTTAGAGGACCTGGTGCCTAATTTAGATTATTTTCTCTTAGAAATAAACCTATAGATGTGTAGTAAATACCACCTATTATGAATTGAATAGCACAATATGCCAGAGACCTGTCAGATTACAGCAGAGGGGCATTCTTAGCAGTTCATTAGACATAAAGAAAGATTTGCATGTGAGACATCTTTGAACATTCCATTGTTGCCAGTTATGCCATTCATTCAGTAAGTCCTTTGGAGGATCTACTCCACATTACTTCTGTTAGCATTGACACCAGGCATACAGTAATTTGTATATGTGTGGAAACACCACTTAGCTTATGGCTAAGTACCTGATTTAGTGAATTCTATTCAACCTTGGAGAATTTCAGATTTTATACATGATTTGGTTGTTAAATACTTCTAAGGTTTTTTTTCTTGTCTTAAATTTCTTATTGTAGAGTAATTTAGGAGCTATAATTGGCTTAAAGCTACATTTTCTTCTAAAAAAAGATCTCTTGACCTAAGGCTCAAATGAAAGACATCTTTGCCTACGAATTGCATAGATCTTGGTCACCATGTATCTTATGACAAAGATCATTAATAGTGGATTTTACTTTCTCAACAACTTATGGTCTCTGTGACTATTAGGAACCAATTTACTTACTGAGGTTCACATTCATTTTTCTAAAGTGTGGTTTTATTATGATATTATCCATTGCTCTTCCTCATCACTCTTTTCACTTCTCTTTTTTAAAAATTAGCATGAAGCCTGCAGTCATGGGCACCTGCAGGTGGTGGAATTGTTACTCCAGCACAAGGCACTGGTGAACACCACTGGGTATCAGAATGACTCACCCCTCCACGATGCGGCTAAGAATGGGCACGTGGACATAGTCAAGCTGTTACTGTCCTATGGAGCTTCCCGGAACGCTGTGTAAGTAGTTCAGCATGGAGACTTTTTTCATTGACTTCCTAAAGCAAGGACTGTGATGAAGCAAAGACTGTATTATCCAGATGATGGCTCACTTCTCTTTCACAACTAAAGTTAGATGTGACCATTAAATTCTGGGTTTAAAATCAACATCCATGCCCTTTTCCTTCATGAGACATATTTGAGGGAGATATGCTCTTTTTTTTTTTTTCCCCCAATGCTAGCCACAGAGGCTCTGAGGTAAATTGGCCACCTTACAAACAAACCCCTGAAAGACGGCAACTCTAGCATCTTGCAAGAGGCTGGACCATGGGATCCAAATGGGGAAAAGGCGGGAGCACACAAATGTCTGTTTGACTTGTCTCTTTGATTAAGGGAGAGATATGCTCTTTTAATTCAGAAATAGTTATACAATTTATTTTGAAAGTTTTGACTTTCTGTACAAATTTAGTTTTTATAGTTTTTAGATTGATTGATTTGCTTTTTAAGAAAAGAATTAGAAGCATAGAAGTAAGTATATTCTTCCTAATACTTTTGAGTTGTTTTAAATAATCCATTCCTTTCCTGCTTTTTCTGCATATTTAGAATAACAATAGTTAAAATATGTAAGATTTCAGATGTTAGGCGAGGGCAGTTAAATTATGTCTTAGATTTTTCCCATCATTCAAGTGAAGCCTTGGGTGAATTGCTTTGCAGTGTCAGGGCAGAGATGCATTAAGTGGGTGCTGGCCGCTGCATTTTAAAATTGTTGCTGTAAAGATTGTCAAACAAATGCTGTATGTGGATTTTATATCTTTAAACTATAACTTCGTTCATATCTCCTTACATAATTATTTTACTCTTCTCAGTTAATGAGGTAGTTGAAATGAACATGCAAGAATTGTCTCTCTGTGTCCCCATTGCTTCTGTAGGTTTGGAAAGAACACACAAAAGGTCAGGCTTACTCTGGTTACAGAGGCAAATAAGAATTATAAAATGCAGAGCTTCTAGGCTGTAATTTCTATGGGTAACCATATAACACAAATTAATAATGCAGGAATGTGTTACACCTTGGTGCTGTTAGTTTGTGTAAGTGTGTTTAATAGTCTTATATGTGAAAAGATAACTGGGGCAAACTCAGGGGATATATATTATTTAAAAAAATTTTTTTTTGCTTTACACACACACATACACACATGTTATTTTAGGTCCATATACAGATATGGCCCTCCTGTGGGTATAGCAAGTGATTTGATAAAACAAATGGTTGCTTGGGTCAGGTGAAACAGAATAGTTTCTATTCTTGGGCTGTTAAATCAGCCATGACTACTTTAATGAATGGGGCGCTGGTCAGGACATTAGGGGATCCAGCTTTTATTTGTGACTCTGTTACTGACTCTCTAGCCTCAGGCAGGTTAATTTCTGGGCCTTTGTGGCCTCACCTATAAAACACAGGTGCTGTCTGTTACTTTTTTGTTTCTTCAGAGCAGAGAGGATTAATGAGCCGAAGCACGGAGCCTGTCTTGGGGCTCGGACACCAGGAGTTCTCGCGACACTGTGGGGCTTATTAACATACAAGGTGTGGGCGTGAGACGGTGCGTGAGCCTGCCTTGGCAGGTGCCTCTCAGGCAGATGTGTTGTTTTACGTAGGTTTACCTGATGAAGTGGCAGATAATGAGAAAAAGATTCCTGTCTTCTGTTCTTCTTTGTTGCCTGCAAATATTTCTGTTGATAACTTTTCGGAACGTCACTGGCTGGCCTTCCTCACTGCTTCCCTTACCCCCAGGGTCCACAGTGAACCTAGACAAGCACTCTCCATCCCGTCAGAACCATGTTGGGTGAATGGAGAATATAAGATGCCTTTTTTTTTTCTTTAACAGATATGTACTTTAGGATTTGGTACTTTGACCTGCCATTAGCAGAGTTTTCCTTGGATGGCTGTAGAATTCTTAATTAGAAAATATTATATGGACCATGGTCCTTTCAATTGCCTTACCTAATTTAAAAAAAAAATTAATCTGCTGAAACAGAGATAATTTGTTTTATAGCTTTAAAAAAAATGTGTTGCTCTTTAGAATGTCTGTGCTTTTTCCTGCTTCACAGCAGGCCAAGTGACTTGAAAAATTAAAACCTATGTGCTTGCAATTTCATGGTTGTTCATAAAGGATTTCACTTGTGGGCTCTCTCCTGTCAGTTCAGCATTAGTAGAAATGCCTTTTTGCTTATGTGTGTTTGGGATTGAGTGATCTCTTTGTGCCAAATTCAAGTTGAAATCTGCCCTCTTTTGCTTTCCCCCGTTAAATAGCGGTGCAGCCCATCACAGGCACAGTTGTAGGCAGGTACCTAGTATGTCATTCTTGAGTGACACGAGAGGGTTCCTTACACTATATTCTGAACTCCAACGGGTACTTTTTCCTCAGTCTCAGGGATCAGAAAGAATCCTAATGAAGAAAAGTTTTCCAGGATCATCTAGTACATACTCTTTGTCTTTATATTTGGACGATACAAATTATCATTATAAAGACACATGAAATACCAAGTTGGGAAAGTGAAAGTAAGGGTCAACACTGCAGATATAAATTACATTCCTAATCTTCATTCTCTGTCTGTCTTTCAAAAATGCAAATCTGATCATGTTAATAGCTAGAAATTACTGAACTTTCAGCTTTCACTGCTAGACCCTGGTTTATGTGTTTTTTGGTGTATAAATTCATCTGTTCCTCACAAAAATCCTATAAAATAGGTTGTATTATTTTCCCCATATTACAGTTGAGGAAACAGGCACAATACATGAAGTTACTCTTCAAAAGTCACACAACTATTGAGTGGCAGAACTGGAATCTAAATTCAGGCCATGTGATTCAGTGACCCCAGCTCCATCCCCCACTGCTTACAACCACGTAGAGAGCTTGGTGTTCAGGGTTTCCTCTTGTCCTTCGGATCAAGGTCAACTCTACTGCCACCCTTTTGTTCTTATTAATCTGGCCACAGCTTACACTTCCAGAACACTCCTTTCCTGAGGAGGCTGTGCCTTCTGCCTGCCTCCCTCTTTCTCTCTCTCACTCTCTCCCTTCTCTTTTCTTTTTCTGTCTTTCTTGCTCTTCTCTTTTTCTTTGTTCTTTTCCTGGTGTTCTTACTTGTCGCAGTAGCTTGCTTCGAGACCTTTGCACACACTTTCTTCTCTCCTAAGACAACTTGTGTTATACTCCTACCCCCTTCTTTTCCTTCTCCTTTCATGTCTCGGAAGTTTTACCAGACTTTTTTAAGTCCTTCCTGTTTGCTTCCCTCTGCTTTGTCTCACTGAGCTCTGCAAGGACAGAGACTACCTTTCATCTCTTTCATTCTTTAGTGATTAAAAGAGTTCTTAGAGGTACTTGTTGAGTGAATATTTGCCAAGTTGATTACCAAATGATTTGTCACTGCCCCTCTTGTAGATATCTGTACTCATCCTATGTGTGTTAAATACATAATAATTAAATGAAAATTGATAGTCCTGCTATATGTATATTATGTATATTAGTATATACAGCCATTTTTATATAGAATTTATTAACCTATATCAGTAGCAGTGATTCTCCAATATTTTGTAGTGCATTCAACAGCAAAAAACATTAACTTAGGAGCACTTAGGTCTTCTGCCAAGATTTTAAAGTATGTTTAAAATCTTCAGTCATATCAGTAAAAGTTTTTTATGAAATATATTTTCAAAGTTTTGATGTAAAATCACACCTAAAGGAGTAGAGCAGGAGTACATTAGAGGAAAAAAAATCTGGTAAAATCTGCCAATGTACTATATTGTGAAGGAACAGAAAAAAAATTCAGAATCAAAAAGGTATCTTTTTGGTTAGTGATTGTGTAAAATATTTCACAATTTTTCGGACTTGGTATAGATAAAATACACTTTCTATGTAATCATTTGGAAGTCACTGAATTACAAGAGGCTTTCTTTGATAGGGCATTAAGGGAACTGAATTGTAAAAAGTGATGCATGTGACAGGTGTTAATATACTGTTATGCACTGCAGGTAAATGCCACAGTGAAGATGCTAAACATAGTCTTCGTTATATTGGTGTTACATTGGCCTATAGAATTTAATAAACACTGTGCCTTTCCATTTTCACAGTTATGTGCTGCTTTTGTCTCCAGAGTCCGTCGCTTCATGCCTGATTATTCCATCAATTTTCCATTTCCTCTTTGGCTCCTATACGGGAACATGCAGAGATTAGACCCTTCAGCCTTGATAGAAAGCTTTCTTCCATTAATTCCATTCATCTCAACAGTGAATGTTGTTGAACAATGAATGTTGTTGAATGGAATCCTGTTGGTTATTACCTCCGCAGACCCTTCACCTTCACCCACCAAATTCCAGTTTCTAGTCTAGGGTTGAAGGACATTTTGTTTGCTAATATGTATTCTTTATGTTCTTTGGAATCCATCTCATATTTCACCTCATTACTTGTGCTTTGGTTTAAACTTTATCAGTTTTATACTTATCTGTTGAAGGAGTATTTGTCCTCAGTAAGATTATAGGCAAGGACAGTATTTTCTAAGTCTTATGTATATCTCCAAAATACCTAGTTGACATGGTAAGGCTTTAGGTTAAAGTATGCCAAAGTAAAGAATATGCTAGATTTAAGAAAATTTGGGGGGGAAAAAATCAGTCCATAAGCTCCCTTGGTAACCCATTCTGATGAGATTATTGATGTTTGCCCTGAGTCCATGGTGTTGCAGCAGATCTAAGAAAACCAAAAAACAAAAAACTTCCTTATGTAATAATGGAGAATAACTGATTCATCACTGTCTTCAATTAATAAGCAATCACATTTATCAATGTCCCTGTGCATGTGACATGTGACTTTCCCTCCATGTATTAGCTATATTTTTAAAATAAAATAAATTCAATTATGCACATTTTAAGCTGATTTTTCATACAAAGTCTATAAGCAAAGTGTTGGTCCATTCAGATATATCATGGGAGAAAAAAGTTTCATGACTTTTTGTGCCCCCATAATAAAGGATAGATCTTGCATATGCCTTGTCTTCCCTTGCTGTGGGTTTCCGAAGGTGCCACTTTAAGTCTTGTGTCTAATTCCAAATTTTAGTGGTCCACGACACAGCAGAAACATGACAGCATTTAATAGGCTCCATCTTGCATCTTGCAGGGCAGAGGTTTAACCAGTTGTCTTTCAAATTGCAGCATTTGTAATGTGCCATTCTCCAGTTCATTAACAATACAGGAGGGCTAGGGGTCTAGTGAATTGTATGTGAGCAGAAACCGTCCGTAATATAAGTAGAGAAACCACACGTTTAAAGGCCAGAGGGGATAGTAAGCTTTGTGTAGTAAGGACAGTAAATGTAAATTAGAATCCTTCTAGTCACTTTATGAAGCAGCTCTTCAGATAGTAAAAGCACCTTACAAGACCATTGTTTTACTTTAAAGTCCTCACTAGCTGATGGTCATGGTACCTTGAGATGTACTTTCATTAACATTTTTTTTCATGTTATAGTGGACCTGATTTGTATTCGTGTAAAGTAAGTATGCTACAGTTACTATGCCTTGAAGTGCATGTGATTGGGCTCTTAAATTTTATTTCTTTGATGTGTAAATTCTACATTTCTCTTGTTAAAAATTCCTTCTGTGCGCAGTGCTTTTTTTTGGATGGCATGTAGTGCGACTTTATTTTTTTGTTTTTCATTTTTGCACATGGTCGGTTAAGACATAGAATGTTGGTTTTTTTAACTCCGATTTCTGTTATTTGATTGTCATACTTACAGAGTATGTCTGTGAAGAGATTGTGTATTTGGTATGTGGACTTAATCATTTAGGGAATGAAACTGAGAAGTATTAAGTACGGCGATGAGATCGGCTGCCTCGGAAATGACCTGAGATCGTCTGCTCTAACTGTATGGGAATTTATGGAGACCCAGATTCCAGGATGATGGCTCATGTCAAGGCTGTAAATCAGAAAGCTGAAATACAGCCGCTTGTAGTGTACCTTGTCTGGAAAAAGACTGTTGCCAGAGAGAGGTTACACACTGCTGGACCTGGGCATAGAGGGGGATCTGAGAACACAAATTTGTCAGCGTTTACCCAGCACGGTCCCAGTAAGAAATGGTGACCAAACCTGATAGTCATGAATAGTATAGTGGTCATTAGAGAAACATTTACTGTGGTTCATTTTTTTAAATCCACTAGCTTTCCTTTCCCTCTGTGCTATCAAAACAGCTTTTCTCCAAGGTCTTTAATAAGACCTTGTCTCTCAACCCAGTAGATGCTTCTGTCCCTTATCCAGGTGTCTCTCATCCCAAGTGCCCTCCATAGGACATCAGAATTGACACCTTCCTCCTCCCACTTCCCCTAATGTTTCACTCTATTTCCTTCCAGACCTTTTTCTACGCATTCAGTACAGTTGTAAAAACTGGCATTATCCCATGCTTATCATTTTATATCCTGTTTCACACATTGCATTTTTATGTGAACTTTAGTGGCCATTACAGGGATATACCATAATCTTAAAAACCATGAAGGATTATATAAGAAATGCTCATTTTAGAAAACTTTCTGCTGTTGTGTAGTCTATTAAAATAATTTTGAAACTGTATGTAAGGAAGTGGAATAATAGACAAAAGTTGTCTCGTTTTTACAATTTACTGATGAATGAAAGACTAATAAAGACTGTAACGAGCAAGAAGAATGTGACCATACGCCAGGTCAGGGGAACCTTCTTTGTTTTCTCATCGATAAAGAGCAGAGTCTTACTCTATCTCTAAAGTCTCCTCCAGTGCAATATCCTATGCTTGTGAATTAGCACAGGGGGAGAAGTCTGCATCAGCTTATTGTCTGAACCAGACCTGTTTGTCCTGTGAGGGCTGTGACTACTACGGATGGTAGTGCACATACACATTAAAGTTATTTTAAAAAGCGTCCTGTCCACTACTTAATAATAGTTTGTCATGTGGCATTAACTTTCCTTCTCGTGGATCCAAGTACCTGTCTTTTGAATTTATCTAATTTCTCTATTTGTTTATATAGATGGTAGAGCCTATAATTGCACAGTAAATGATTTGTATTTATATTTAAAAACATCTCACACAGTGATTAATGATTATAAAGCTATACTGTAAAATATGAATACGAACACAGAAGAATACAGAGTGGTGGAAAAAATTCATGTGTAAATAATATATTCAATTTAAAATATCCCCGGTAACGGTCTGGTATCAAATTAAAATTTCACCTCTTTTTTTCCATTGAATTCAGCAGCTTGTGCTACTTGATCCTTATTCTTTATGTGAATTTTGAGTCACCTATTTTAGTAAAAATGATGCATTATTAAGGAAGTTGAAAAAATTATTTTGCTAGTGCATCTATGTAGTTAAGAATCAAGTCACATATTCTATTTACTTAAACCCACCTGTACCTATCCTACCAGTAACATATTTGGCCTGCGACCTGTGGACTGCACAGAGAGTGAACCGTTGAAATCGCTGTTGCTGCCGCCGCCAGAGAAGAATGAATCGTCATCAACTAGCCATTGCTCAGTAGTAAGTATGACTTTACCTTTGTGAAATTTGTATCTTTTATTGAAATTGGTTATAAAAGGAGCATAATGGAAAAATTTCCAGTTAGCAAATTGCTTTTATTCACTGAACAATTGTTGAACACTTCCTGTGTATTAGCAATTGTGAATTTGAAGACAATCAGAATAAGTGTATCAACAAATATTTACTGAGCCCCAGCTATACATTAGGCAGCACTCATTCACAATAAATATGAAGGATAGCAACTCTTATTCTCAAAGAGGTTATATTCTAGTGAGAGTTAGGAAACAGGTTGCACGTTTGTAAGCTAATATAAATAATTCCAGGAATTTATAGATGAGTGCTGTGACAGATTTCGTGGAGTGTAATTCAGTAGGAGTGGTGGGCTCCAGAAGAGGCGCAGCTTTTTATGAAGGCTGTGGAGGAGAGCCACTAAAGAGCTGGCGTTTGATCTGACACCCGCATCATGAGAGGAGGCAGCCAAGTGCATATCCTGAGGACAAGTGCTCCAGGCAGAAGGTGCAGCGAGTGTACAGGCCCCTCAGTGGATGAGCTTGTCATATTGGAAGGTTAGAGAGGAGGTCGTTATTATTGGCAGCCAGTGAGTATCTAGGAGTAATGAAAAACTGCTGAAAGACTTTAAAGCAAAAAAAAAATTGACATGATTTAATTTATGCTTTAGAAAAGTCACTCAAGCTGCTTTGTAATAAAGAGAATGTGGGGTGGGGACAAGGGTGGAAGTAGGGAGGTTACTTAGGACTGTTTCATTGTGAAGGACAGAGCTACCACAATGACCGGGATAAAGGTAATAGTGGAGATTATGAGAAGAAATGAGGTCCAGTATATATTTTTGAGTTAATGCTAACAAAATTTTCTGGTGGATCATTGATCAGGTGTGGGGAAAGAGTAGAATGGTATGACTAGCAATGGCGTAGATGTTGGTACCATTTGCTGCCGTGGAGAAGGAAATGAATAGTTCTCTGTGTCAACTTTATGTCTATATGCCATCAAATGAAGATGATGAATAGGCAGTTGGATATGTGATTCCGAGGTAAAGGCGAGAGATAAAGTACAAAGAATATGTATTCCCTAGGAACCTGTAGTTTAGTGGGGAATACAGATGTAAAAATATTTATTACACATGTAATAAGTTCATAATAGAAGCCATAGCTATGTACAGTAGAACCAGACAGAAAGAAGAAGCTAACTTCAGGAGGAATCAGGGATTTCTTCACAGAGAAGGGGACACAGAACACGTCTAAGACCTTCTCTGTGAAGCCGTTAAAGGTAAAAGGCTTTAGTGAGGTATCTAATAGAATTCTGTTGATGTAAAAAGATTTTACAACTCAATAACAAAAAAGCAATTTAATTGAAAAATGGGCAGAGAATCTGAATAGACAGGTTTCTAAAGAGTAATATACATGGCCAATGGGCATATGAAAAGATGCTCAATGTCACTAATCATTGGGGAAATGCAAATCAAAACCACAATGAGAATCACACCTGATAGAATGGCTATTATCAAAAAGACAGAAAGTGTTGGTGAGGATGTGGGGAAAAGGGAACCCTTTATGCACTGTTAGGAATGTAAATGGTGCGCCCACTATGGAAAATAATGTGGCGGTTTCTCAAAAATTAAAAACAGAACTATCATATGATCCAGCAGTTACACTTCTGTGTACTTACCTGGATAGAACAAAAACACTAACTTGAAAAGACGTATGTGCACCCTGTGTTCATTGCAGTATTATTTATGATAGCCAAGATAACGAAGCAACCTAAATGTTCATTGGTGGACGAATGGATTGAGGGGGAAACACACACACACACACACACATACACACGCATAGAATGGAATAATCTTCAGCCATAAAAACAAAAAGTCTTGCCATTTGTGATAACATGGATGGACGTTGAGGGCATTATGCTAAGTAAAACAGACAGTGAAAGACAATGCTGTACGATCTCACTTAATATGGAATCTCAGAGCAGCAAACAAAAATCCCCCAAAAACATGAGCTCCAGGATACCAAGAACAGATTGAAAGTTGTTAAGAGAGTAGATCTTAAAAGTTCTCATCACAAGAAAAGAAAATTTGTAATTGTGTATGGTGATGGATGTTAAGTACACTATTGTAGTGATCATTTTGCTATGTATATACATCAAATCATTATGTTGTACCTCTGAAACTAATATAATGTTATGTATCAGTTATATCTTAATTTTTAAAAAAAGAACGTTATTAGCTGCAAATAACAGAAAACTTTCACTCAAGTGCTTAAAGATAATCCCAATATGGTATAGCTTTCAACTTTGTTAGTTCAGCAGTTAAGTGGCTGCACAAAACCCCCACATTCCTGCTGTCTTTATACTTTGCCATCCTCGGCTTGGCCCCCAGTAATCTCCCCCTAGTGGTTATAGAATGACTGCAGGGTTAAAAGAAGGACGAAAACCTTTCCCAGAACCTTCTTGTGGATTTCCCTTACGTCTCATTAGTCACACAGTTGGTTTTGACATACATCATAGTTGAAGATTGGGACGCTTAGTGTAGGTAGTGAGGAATGGATTCTGAGTGGACAGCCAACGTTGCCCACTGCAATCAGGTATACAAAGTGAGGATGGTAGCCCCAATATAAAGAACAGCAGTTCAGAGATGAGGAAGCATAAAGGTCCTTGAAAATTTGAGCAACTGCAGTTTAGTGTGAGAGGAGCATGCAGTGTGTTAAAGAGGAATTGACAGTGAAGAGCTAGGTTGGGATCAGATTGTGAAGGCCTTGAATTCCCTGAAGAGGAGTTTAGACTTGATTTTCCTGGTTAATGAGGCACTCTCAGTGCTTTCTTAATGGGCTGGGACAAGACGGAGACTGGTTGCCAGGAGGCTGTTGTGGAGCCCAGGTGTGCAGTGGTCAGGACTGGGACTGCAGGTGGGGGCAGCCATGTGGGGGGGGGGGGTTAGGGAGAGATGGATGGTGGACTCACTCTGTTTAGCAACTGCCCGGATGGGGGAAATGAGAGAAAGGGATATGTTGACACCTAGGACCATTAGAGAAACTTCTCATCTAGTAAGGGCAGTGGTAATGAACTGGAAGAGACCCTAGAAATCAGGTTAATTTCCTTATTTTAGAAATGAGAAAGTTGAGACCTGGAAAGGTTGTGATTTGCTCAGGGTTAATCAGCCATAAAAACATTTTTTTTTTAAATGGATCAGTTAGAACACAAATTATTGAAATCTTAGGTCAGTATTCATTCATTCTCGGCATACTTAACAACTCTAAATTGGCACTTATTTTATTCATTTGAACTTGAACTCTTCTGGCAGAACATAGCATAACTAAGTTGTCATTTGCCAATGTTCCTTTTATGTAAAAGCTGGAGAAAGATTATTTTATATTTTAAATGTGTCAAAAACAAAGATATCTTTATGGTATTCTTGGAATCTGAGGATATTAATGCTCTCGAGAAAAGAACAAAGTGATTACCCTCCTCCCAAGTCAACTATCCGGGTGCAACTGTGTCTTTATTAATTGTAGGAAACCTATACTTTTTGCATGTCACATGGATATGACCAGTGAAAATCATTACTTATTATCTTTATGGGAGATATTTGACTAAGGAAAAGAAAACAAGTGATAAATTCCAAGTCGAAAGGGATGTTCCTTTGTGTGTTATCTTAAAGCCTAAGCTTGAGATTTGCCTTCCTCCAGTCACTACCAGACTCCACTCATTCTTTTTCAGCCACATGGGCTGTCTTGCTGTTTTTGAATCCACCGAACATGCCCCACTTCAGGGCCTTAGCACTAGCTCTTGTCTCTGCCAGGAACAAATGTAAGGAACCCCATGTCCACAAGGCTCCTTATTGTCTTCAGATGGGCTCTGTTGTAGGCCCACCAAGGAGATCTCTGCACTACAGTATACTAAGTTGTATCCTGCCAGTGCTTCTTTCCTGACATTATTTTTGTTTTGTTGATTTTTCTTCCCCACCTAGAATGTAAACTATCTGAAGACAGGCACTTTTCCTCTTCTATTTACTATTATTAGTGGTAGTAGCTCCAGGACTGAGAACAGTGTCTGACAGATAGTGGTGCTCATAAATGTATGTTGAATGTGTGAACGACCACTGGAGGGTCGCTCGTCATATGTTTGTCCCGGAAACAACCACAAGTGCTTGGTGGCTGAGGTCACATTCCTTCAGATCAGCGACCTCTAAGCTATTCTGCAAGTGAGCTGCTTCAGGAAGCATCCGTCAGAAGGGACGGGGTGATGAGTGGGTGGGGTTTGAGTTCCTCTACTTCCCATTTAGAAGTTTTGTTTGTTTCAAGTAAAGATTAATGGCTGTTGGAAAGCACTTTTAAAATAGAGAAGCAGTCTTTGAACTAAAGACTTAAAAAGCTGCTTGCTGTGTGCTTTTTGTGACTTCTCTGCCCATGATACCTTTTAGCAGCATGTTTATCCTTTTTCTTTCGTGTTTTTTAAACCCTATTTTTGATAAACTCATTAAGAATAACTAATTTATCTAAGAAATCATTCCATATCGAACTATCCTTTAAATAAGAGTTTAATGCTAGTGTACAAGTATACAATCGCTATAAAATCAAGGTATTGAACCACTCGGGATGGTTTTTAAATGTCTTTTGAACCTCATGGTTCTGAGACTCCTGCTTATTCAACCAGATGTCCCCACTCCCCTCCCCTCCCCCCTGCCCCCTGTCAGACATGTGGCCTTGGTAACAGTTTGCTTTATGGGTTTTTTTTTTTTCTTATAGCATTTCTTAGTGGTGAAAAATTAGTGCCAGTTTCAATTTTTTTTAATTCAAATTTAAAAACTGTGATAGGAAAAGGCTTGACCCACTTTGGTGTTTTCCTTGGGTTGGTAGAAATAGTATCATCCCGCATTTAGAATTGATATATTTTCACTCTTATATTTTGTGTAGAGAACTAATTTAGCTGAAGTGGAGTTATATAACTAGAAAAGTAATATGTTCCATTTAGAGCTATTTTATGGCATTTATTTGTATAACTGACAAAAGTTATTGAAATACTGTTTTTTAAAATATTACCATCATATAGTAATTGAACAATCCATAAAGTACACTGAACTATTTTCTTGTTATAGAGTGCTTACAACACTTAGTGTAGACATGGTTATATCATGTTATAGTTTAGTGAATACGAAAGATGCGTGGACAGAGATGTGATGTAAATGTGTGATGCGCATAGCATGTCCAGTAAAAACATCCTCGTAACTTGAGCTTAAAGCAAAAAAAGAGCTGAACGTTGCAATTTAAGAAGACTTTTGTGAAAATCTTTTTAAAAATGTCTTGTATATATACTTAACATATAGTAGACTCTCATTTAATGTATTTTGAGTGAATGAATTATTGAGATCAATCTATATATAGATGTAGCCAACAATTTAGATATACTATTACAGGGCATCAGACCAGATAAATGATCGCTACTCTTATAGGTGAAGTGAATACATAAATACCGACTTTCTCCAATATCATTGCTGAACTATACTGGTGGCCACACTGGCAGCGTTTCACTCAGGTTCTTTGGAGCTTTGGGATCCCAGATACCTAGTACACATACATACTTACACACGTAGGAGGGCCGTTATGTCTTGTTTAAAAATTACAGTATTGTGTTTGACATTTTGTTCTTTGATACAGTAGTGTTGATTTACCTTTCCTTTCTTCTTTGATCAGTCATTGCTGCTGCTGCTTCTTTTTTTTTTAATCTGTAGCTTTCAGCTAATTCTCATTCCAGTTCCATTTACTAAATTTCTCTTGGCTACTACTGGATACACTATCCCATTTTTTCTTTTGAATCTTTCACTTTAATCTCTAATGCTATCCATTCATAACTTCTCTTTATTTTTGTCTTTTTTGTCTGCTGTAATACAGTTCTAAGTCTTTCTATTGAAGTGAAAATATTAGTCTTTGTTCGTAGAGTACTTCTTTCCTTTTCATGAGCTGCATTGACTTAACTGTTACAGTGAATCTGATCTAACTTTTGTATTCTCTTGTCTATTTTCATTTCCTTGGTTTTGAAAGGTAACTGTTTCGATGTTAAAAATTTGTTTCTATCTTTGAGATCACTGCTGTTCAGGAAATCTTAGTGTTTTTTAATTTTTCATATAATTTCAGTTTAAACTAAATAGACCAGTTCAAGTTCAACTCTACTAAAATAAGTTAGAGGGCGGGAGGTAGGGAATTGATCATTTTAAGTGGGTATTTTGGGTTACTTAAAAAAAAGGGGGGGCGCTTATTGATGACAGAATGAAGTTGTGTAAAACCCTAAAGAGACCCAATTTAGAATCAAGAAAACAAGATGCCTTGGGTATAATGAGCTATACCAAGTAACATTTTAATTGAGGGGGCGGGGTAAAGAAATAGAAAAATGATTATTTAAATGAAGTGAGCACTAAGGTTTTGAGTGATGATTCAATGGGAATTGTTGGGAATTAGTAGAGTAAGCTAAGAAATGAAGTTCAAGCTTACATCAAGCAAAGGTCAGTTTAATATCTTTCTCTGGTCTTTATATGTTTTAACACTGTGGCATTTCCTTTCTTTGTTAACAGGTGAAAACTGGCCAGCGTAGGGATGGACCCCTTGTACTCATAGGCAGTGGGCTTTCTTCAGAACAACAAAAAAAGCTCAGTCAGCTTGCAGCAATTCTTAAAGTTAAAAAATGTGCTGAGTTTGACAGTACAGGTGAGGATTGTTTATTTATTTTTGGTAAGAAAAAATTTTAAGAGTCTCGTGCTCTACCTACTGAGCCAACCAGGCAAAACTTTGCCCTTAGTTCAGGATGGAACAATATTGTAGAAGAGCAAATTTATGACTTTGCTAATGACAAATAAATTACATGTAGTGCATGTAATGCTTTAATTCCTCAGTTTTAATTTGAAAATAAAGGAAAAAATGGTTTATGCTAAAGTGGTTTTAAGATATTTGTTTTATGATCTGATTTTTCATGTTGGTGGCCAGGCTAGAGTGATACTAAAAGAAGTTTTATACCTAAGTATAAAAATTGTTTTTGAAGCAAATTCAGAGAAGAGTTTATAAAGTGTAGACTGGTTATAAAATGCGGACTAGTTAAAGAATTATTTTGGTTTATATCTCTCTTTCTTTTACTGCTCTTTTTGTATTCTAGTAACTCATGTCATTGTTCCTGGTGATACAGTTCAAAGTACGCTAAAATGCATGCTTGGGATTCTCGGTGGGTGTTGGATCCTAAAATTTGAATGTAAGTGTTGGGTTTGGGAAAATTAGAAAATGGATTAAGTAGACTAATTTCATTTTTTATAGTTCACTATTGCCAATAATTATTTCAGAAACCTATACCGATTTTCTTACCTTAGTTAACCACTTCATTTTGCAAAAGCTTGTCATATTAATTGTATCATTTTGATGTTCTTGGTAAATGGCCACAGATATGTTCTGGTTTCAAAGTCTTTTTTTCTATGATATTAATTATTTTAATAAAGCATAAGTGGATTATATAGTAGACTTTTAAGCCCAAGCCATCCATATTAGTATTAAATTATAAGTTTAACTTAATAAATGCATGTTTTAAATATACTACTATGAAATGAAGGTAGTTTATTGCTTTCTCTCTATGATTTCTAAAAAGTTATATATAAACACCCGTTTGCTTTCTTAGCTAATCTGGTATATTTTAGGAAGCCGCTGGGAAATTTAGACAGCTTGTACTACCTGATTTGGGACAGTTGTGCCAGCTATTATCAAAATCTCCACTGAAAAGGTATCTCCCCCGTTACCCACTTCTTGGTGGTAGCAGCCACCACCACTGTCGGAGCTGCCTTCACCTGCCTACTCTTGCTGGCTTTCTTAACTTTGATTCACCTGGGACTTAAAGAAAAATAAAAAGAAAACTCATATAGGGTTATTTTCTACTCTTCAATAGCAAAAGTATCTACTTTTGTCACAGTGGCTAAAATAGGACAATAGATTAACCTTTTTTTGTTAACTAATGGTTTAGAAATAACGGTAGAGACAGCCATAGACAGAGAGAAGGCTGACAGCTCTAGGGATAAGGGTGGAGATTAGGGGGCGGGGGTTAGGGGACGTGAGAATCGAGCAAAAAGGAAAAAGGACTCATGGACATGGATAGTGTGTTAATTATGGGGGGAGGGGAATATAAGGGGGACCATTGGTAATGGAAAACAAATACAATATAAAAAAGAATAGTGATGGTAAAGCTGTTACAGGAGAAGTTTTATGATACAGTTTAGTATCTTGATCGTGGTAGTGTTTACCTTTCACAAGGCTACACACGTAAATTATAAATCTATGTACACACACAGCACATATACCACTCACATACACATACACAAGTGCATGTATAACTGAATATGCTGTATGGGTTGTATTAATGTCAATTCTTGCTTTGGATATTGTGCTATAGTTGTATAAGATGTTAACATTGGTCCCTGGAGGAAGGTGCATGGGATTTCCCTGTACATTTCTTTGCAGCTTCCTATGAATCTATCATTATTTCAAATTAAACAGTTAAAGAAAAAAGAAGAGTGTATATTTCTGATAAAACTTTTTAAGAAGCAAGTAATGGATCAGAATTAGTTTTTATAAACTCTGTTTTATGGCTTTGTGCTTTGAAGCTTTTATGGTAGAGATGCTTGATTTAAGATCTTGATTATATTATTAATTTAATCTGTCTTTCGAAGTTGATTTGGTTTGTAAAGTTGTTTCCTTTTCACAGCTGGCATTCATCTCCTTTTTACATGCCGCTGCCCCTTGTCTCGTGATGCATCAGTGTCCACCGATGTGTTCATATCTGGCTGAGGGGCTGTGACAGCAAGGCACTTCCTCTCTTCTCATTGGCCTCTGTTATTAGTCTCTCCCAGTCATGATGAGTTTAAAAAGTATGATAAGCAATTTGAATAACCGTTTTTGTCAAGGAAAAAAAGTTTTCCTTTCAGTCTCACTCTTACTTTTGCAGCTTTTGCCTTTCAAATCTGTGGCAAGGCTTACTGGATCTCAGTGTTTAAAAAATTGATTTAAAATGGTTTCATGATTATAGATGCTTTTGTACTGGTCTATGCCAGAAATCTTGCCAGTGGTTATAGGAAGGAATAGATTTTCATAATAATAAGGTCTCAGTAATAAAGAAACCATGTGAGATTTTGAATGTTACGGCATTTACCACTTAACTTTGAGTATATAGTTCTTGTGAATATGCTGAACTTGCATTTGGTTACATATACAGGCTACATGATTCATGTCCATAAAATATGCCTGCTTTAAGAAATGGACATTTTTGTCAATTTAATGGCTTGGCTATGTCATTTTTATAGAATCACTGATGGACTCAAGCTGACTTAATAGTGTGCTATTTGGTGATTCTCACAGTAGTGAATAACATATTCTAATATCAGTGGGGGTTTTTTTAGGATAAAGGGTGGATAGAATATCTTATTGAAGTTCATATCCCCATATTTTCTAATATAGAGTCCAAAGAGAAATTAATATATTTTGACCTAATAATTCCCCTTCTGAGAATTTACCCTAACAAGTAATACAGAAAAAAAGAAAGAAAAAGACTATTTGTGTTGCCATTTCTAATAGCAAGAATAGGGAGAATAACCTAAATGTGAGAGAATTAAGAAAATTTTGGAATGTTTAAAGATATTCTCTAAGAAAACTTATATTTTTGTATGATTATTAAGACTAGTATTATAAAAATAGGATTACTTTAGTTTTAAAATGTATAGAACAATTATATCTTGAAAAATATATAAATGTGAATGCATACAGCAAAGAAATAATTAAAAGAAAGCAGTGGTGGATTAGTAAGTAGGTGCCTGTTTATAACAGTTTAAAAAACTGTATCTGTTAAATGAAATTCAAGTTGTCTTGGAGGAAATTCAACTTCTCAAGCTATAATAACAATATCTTCTTCATAGTCTTTTTCTAGAGAGTAATTGGATAGGTAAGTGCTTCAGTCTCAGTCAGGGAAATTAGAACCTGTTTCTTCAATCCAATGTACCAGATCTTTTGTACCTCTTATGCAGACCTAGCAAATACATTCAGGTAAGGTGGTTGTCCTAAGCAAAATTGATATTCTTACATAAATATTTGAACTTTAAATATACGACTGAAAAAAAATACCACATAGGAGATTTTTAATTTTTCTTTTCCTTCTCCATTTATCCTACCTCTACCCTCTTCCACTTCGACCCCACACCCTGCAGTCATCTTATATGAATTTTTAGATTATTTTATTAAGAAAAACTTTGGACATCAGACTGAGTTTGGTCTTCAACCATATCTGGAAAGAGAATTATTTTCATATTATTACTCATAATAAAAAGTTTCAGAATAGCTATCCAAGTTTTTCCTAAGAAAATTTTGTGATACAGTAATATATTTTGTGATAGAATTTGACCTGTTTCTTTATATGCATTAAGTAAAATCAATATATACTGTCATGTGAAGAAATGTGTTTTTATATATAAATATGTTTATAATTAGAATACTGGCTTAAATGTATCCAGAAATAACCAGTGGTTAAATGGTATTTATGTGGAATCACAAAAATCTAATGGCCTGTGACAGTTTTCCGTGATATTCCAAATCTGTATGTTTATGCGGGCATGATTAGAGCATTTAGCTTTTATTTTACCTTTTTAGCCTTTATTTCATTATTTTTTCACTTTTTACTGTGGAATTTCATAATAATGTGCTTATTTCCTCTTTTTCTTGCCACTCAGTTTTCCAAAAATTGATGTGAGTATAAATTGTTTCTTTTTCCATTTTTTTTTTTGGTCCTGGGTTTAAAACGTTTCCTCTAGTGATTTTCTTTTTTCTAAAATTCAGTGATATCATATTCTATTGGACTAAAAAACCTAATAGAAAAGCATTTAAAAATAAATTCTTTTGTTTTTATAATGTGGGTGTTGTTTTTTAATAGAATCAGAGTGAAATTCTTCAGTTTTTTCTAATATTTTGTCTAAGTTTATGTGTCTTAAGTTACCTAAGAGCCTAGTTTAGATCTAATGACGTTTATTAAGACTTTTGCTTTTGGCATAGAGGGATGTTTGAGTCTGTATTTTAATTGTTTCTTAGGACATTTGGTGTTAACTGGGAATGGTACTTAATTGTGATTTTCAGTGCTATTTCAATTCCAAAACTATATGTTTATGATGGCATAAATGGAGCATTTACTTATCATTTTACTTTTTACCATAGTTGCAGAAGAATAACAATTCTTTAAAATATGGATTTGTTTACTGCCCTAGCTCTTGAAAGAAGTGAGCAAATTCTGTGGCCTACCATGGTGGGGTAATTTCCCCCTCTATGCATTTAACAGATCTTCTTGTTGAAGCTTTATTCTGTCTTCGTTGTGTTCTGTAATCGTATGTGTGTAGCAGGGGATTCAGGAACAAACCCCCCTTTCCTCTCCCCATTTGTATGATCCTTTTCCCTTCTAAAGTGACGATAAGTCACCGAGCTTAATGTGGATCCGTGAATATCATTACTCGTTCATGCAGCTAAAATGAAAATACACATCTATAGTTATATATGCATTTATAAAGGTAGGAGGTGAGAGTAGTTACTAGAGATTTAGAATAAAGGAATGCTTTTCAGTATAGTACAGACATCTTTTTTGAAAAAAAATATTGTAACCTAGAATTCATAAGCTGCTTTAGTACACAAAGATTCTAGGCTTTGCTAAGGTAGGCAGAGCTACCTTAATGACTGAGTTAATAACTTTGAGTTAAGTAGTACTTTGGGAATGGGGCTACTTACCTATATATAAAAAAAAGTAATAGAATCAAAGACAAAGGAAAACTTATCTGAAATGGTAGACACAATCAGCAATACATCTGGGCTAAAAGAATCTCATACTTTTAATAAGTAATTCATTCCTCTGTTTCTGCAAAATGACAGCTTCAGTCACAATCTTAAAATGAAACATGTATAAAGTAAGGAAGGATATAAAGCATATTTTTATAGGGTAGTGGCTTGACACACTTTTTGAATGTATACAATCTGGCTGATGCAGAAATCTATGTTTATATAAATAGCATAACTTATTCATGTAAAGTCATATCAGTTTGGAAATTAATAGCTGAGAAAGCTAACAGGTGATCTTGCATATGCTTCTTTCTTCAAAAGAGAGTAAGAGTTTATCTTTGTGTTAAACTATTTTTAGTGGCAGATGATGGAAGAATAAGGACTTTGTTAAGTATGTATTACGATTATAAAATATATTTTGATTAAATTTTAAGAAGTGTCTTTATTGATGAACAATGACCTATTTTAAAATCTTGATGTATGTTAACAGTATATATCATACTGTAGATGAGTTTATGAGTAGGAATGTAGGGAAAATTCTGATATTTTGTTTAACATGGAAATTAGGCGTAAGTATTCTTGTTGTAGGTTAACTTTTACTGAGTGAATAAAACCTTAAAATACTACTCTGTTATTTAGGCTTGTTCATTAGATCATGTTTTGGCTGGGAGATTCTTCAGTGTCCTTGATGATGTTAATGTACAACATTTAAATTGCTGAAGGTTTATTTTCAAGTATTTCATTCTTGTTTTTGACTTGTTTTGTCATCAGTACAGTTAGTTTATCTCAAGAGATTCACTAGGAAGTTGATAAGAATTTGTAATTATCATAAATGTCTGCTGTGCAGTACACATTCATTCCGAAACTCCTAGGGTTCAAGTTTGAGTGGCAACTTTGGCAGAGGGTAGGTTAAATACACTGATTTCATTGGCCCGGTGAAGACAGAGTCACAGGCATGTTCTCCCACACCTCCTTCCCCAAGGTAGCCAGCAGGTTTTGCCACTTCATATACTCTTTGATTAATCTCTTAAGAATTAGAACCCTCCTATTACTCATTAAGTGATTATGTGATTTATTGTAAGTGTCATAATATATTAAATCTGAGCAGAGGATACCTGGCATTTCCTAAGATGGTTCTTAAAAAAACAATAAAGATTAAAGAAGAATAACGGTTTTTAAACTGTGGATATGTGAGTTATCATCTCAGTTGTTTCATGGAGAAAGTTGCTTAAATCTCTTGGGACTCAAGTTTCCTTTCCTGTGAAAGGAAGAGGCTGATTAGATGTAGCATCAGGAGTTTCTTGTGGCAAAGGGCCAAAACAGATAATTTATGTGGTTATGTCCAGCATACCCATTTTGTTTTAGTGTCTTTAAATGTGATTTGTGTTTTCCCATTCATTGCCATCTCTACAACTACCTACCAGTTAACACAAGGTTCTTCACAGTTGTGTGGGATCTGATTGGCCCTTGTAGATATAGTTGCAATCTTGGACTAGTTGTCATCCCTAGCATTTAAGAAATTCTTGATGTTTCCTGTGTTATGACAGCAATTCTAATGGAGTATTTTGTTTTCAGGGGGGAAAAACACTGTATTTTCTTCTTTAGTTGATATTAGGTAGGCTACAGAGTTGGCACGTTGTTACTGAATATGAGAGGAAGATATTCTTCATTCAGCTCAGAAATTAAGCATTGGTTTTCTTCCTTTACCAAAAAATTCACTAAAATGCTGTAAAACTTAGTTTTATGACTTGAAGCATATTCATGTTATAAAAGCACTGGCATCGTCCTGGGCAAGTGCCATGCTGCCCTCTTGGTGTCTGCCATCTCACTTTTTAAAAAAATTTATGTTTTAGAGAGAGGGGAAGGGAGGGAGTAAGAGAGGGAGAGAAACATCAACATGTGGTTGGCTCTTGCGTACCACCTACTGGGGACCTGGCCCAGAACCCAGCCATGTGCCCTGACTAGGAATGGAACCAGCCACGCTTTGGTTCGCAGGCCAGTGCTCAATCCACTGAGCCACACCAGCCAGGGGCATGCCATCTTATTTCCTTGATGCCATGCTTATCTCATTCCTAGTGTCTGTTAGAGCTGCATCCTATTGAGTGACTAAAGTCAGCACATTACCGGGACGAATAGATACCTTTTTAATATGCTTTTCTGACAATAAATAAAACCATAATGGATAAGCAACAAGCATCAGCATAGCCCATTTATCTACTTCTGTAGTTAGGCATTTGCCATTGACTTGGTACAGTAGATATCGCAGGAGTGTTCAGTGTTAAGTTGTTGACTTCATAGGCTGACCTATTCATTTGCCTAAAGATTCTGTTATGAGTGTTCTGCAAATACTAGGAAAGGAGGTTTAGAAAGGGGCCTCCATGCTGGATGATAAAAAGTAGAAGTGATAGTTTACATGTAAAATAATGAGTTTGATATAAGTGATTTAGTGAGATTGTTAATGTTTTGGGGGGTTGGTGTTTAATATGGTGTTTAATATGATGTAATGTGAACACACTAGCCATGTTTCTGGTAGGATACTTTGAACTAGTCAAAAAATTTGACACTCATTTTCAAAACACAGTAAAGTTACTATCTTAATACTAGCTTCATTAGAAAGAGTTTTTTACTCAGTTGAGTGATTATTATAATACTTGTAAAATACAATTTTTCCTACATAAAAAAATAACAGTTTTCATAGAACCATGACGTTTATGCTAAATTAGTGAGAAGAATAGGATTTAAAAGAATAGGATTCAACGTAGCAAACTTGGCCAACTATGATTCTTGTACTAAAAACACTGGCAGAAAGGGACACCGAAACACAGGCAAAATTAACAAATTAAGAATCATGACAGGGAGTTATAGAAAGGTCAGGGTTTAGTGTGGAATATGAATATGCATTAACAGCCCCAAGTCAAGAAAAAATTTAGTCTCCTGACAAAGCTCTGCTTTTGGAAAGATGGAGCATTAAGTTACTAAAATCTTCTGACTTTTGTGTGTTCAGCAGCATCTTTGAACATCTCAACTGAAGCTGCTCCAAAGCACTGGAGGTAATCACCAAGTCATCGCTAGAGTGGTGGCTTCAGTGCGTCCCTGTCAGACCCCAGACATGTCTTAGGCTCTGCTGATTGGTAATTTTCTCAAGCACTGCGGAGCCCCCGTTGTGTGGCCAGCTGAGCTCAGTGCGCCCTTCATGTCAGGTTGCCTATAGTCTGACCGGAGATGAGTGGCGACTGAAAACGAGCTTGCAGATGACAAGCACTGAAGCTCAGATCGCTGCGGGCAGAACTAAACCAGGGACTGTTGACCCACCTTCATTTTGATAATTTAGATTCTTATTTGGGAAGTATAATGACTTTGGTTTTTCAGAAAGGAAACACATTTGTTAGTGTTCAGTGCTACTTCATTGCTCAGACCGCTGAAGGAGAGATTTCTTATATTTTCTTTATATGGAAAGCCCATTTTATTACATTTGTATTGGCATAAAGTTTCTATTTAGCAATACTATTTATGAAAAAGAAAAATCACTTAGGTAAATTGCTTACTTTCAATAAGAAACAAGTAATGGCTCACTTGACATTTATTTTGCTTTTCTTCTGTTTTGTCAGGGGTGAAAGCTTGTCTACAAAGCGGAGCATGGGCGCAGGAAGACGAGTTTGAGATTTCCGGGGGACCACAGAGAAGCAGGCTCAACAGAGAACAGCTGGTATTTCTCTTTTGCTGCTACTTTCATTGTTCTTGTTCTATCTGAATATTATTATCACCATCAGGAAAAACTTCTCCTGCCCTTTCAGCAAGTATAGGTGACTGATTAAAATTTTAATTGTACTTATTTCAAGCACTTGATTCTGAGAGATGATCACGATGAGCAGTAAAATCCAGAAGGCAATAATTTCATACTGTTAATGGGTTTTTGGCATCTTGAACATTCCCATAAACCTTTCAGAGTCTGAGGTGAGTCGCAGATGCAGGAAGTAACTTGAAAGAAGACTTACAGCTGCTGCTTGCATTTAGTCAATCGTATGTGTCTGTTGCCATAGACTGCAGTTGTAATGGAGAACACTCCATTATCCTGTTGATGTGTATTAGAAATGATAAAGAAGAATTTTCATACAAGGGGAGTTTGAAACTTCTTTTCATAAAGCACACGGAAGTGTGTTTCATAGCTAATTGGAGCCTGAGCCACAGCTTCACAAGGTATTGTGCCCCAAGGAGGACACTTCTGGCCACTGCAGGCCACACTGCCATCGCAGCCGTCCTGGAGACCTTCAGCTGGCACTGCCAGGGACCTGAGTTTGGACAGGCAGAACTAGATGATGGTCTGTGGAAGGGATGTTACCCTTGCCTTCTAAGTTCAGTCCTCGTCCCTGAAGTATGTGTCAGATGACCAGGAACGCTTGGCCTTTAAGCCCCACCAAATAGGAATAGACTTTCTGATAAAAATAAGTTTGATAAACAGTTTTTGTTTACTTTTTCTGTTTTATGCAAAACATACCTAAAATCTGAGGAGAATCAAAAGTACCTGAGATGGTTGACTGAGCCTTAGCAAAAATTTATACTTAGGAAAGTTGAGTACCCCTTGTCCTAGCACCTCCTTAAGTAACTGTATAACTGCTCGTGACTATATTTTTAATTCCCTTGTTTTTATGCAGTGTTTTAAAATATTTTGACCTGCTTTTAACAAGTTCTTTGTTAATTTTTTAAAAAAATTTTATTTCAGTTGCCAAAACTATTTGATGGATGCTACTTCTATTTTGGAGGAATCTTCAGACACCATCCAAAGGACAACCTTATGAAGCTCGTCACTGCAGCTGGGGGCCAGATACTCAACAGGAAGCCCAAGCCAGACAGCGACGTGACTCAGACCATCAATACGGTCGCGTACCATGCTAACCCAGATTCTGACCAGCGCTTCTGCACACAGTACATTATCTATGAGGATGTGTCCAGTCATCGTCCAGAGAGGGTCCGACAAGGCAAAGTCTGGATGGCTCCTTCCAGCTGGTTTATAGATTGTGTGATGTCCTTTGAGTTGCTCCCTCTTGACAGCTAAATACTACACCAAATGAACATTTCACATTGAACTTACCTACTGTTCACTGTTTTGATCATTTGCATTTTTATAAATAGGTAGACTCATTCATATATTTTTTTCCTTGAATTAAAAAAAATCTTAGATTAGGCATTTATTCTGTGTTTACCATTTAGGTGCTGAGATTGCTTTCAAGGATTTTCTTTTTAAAACTGACATATATTTTTGATTCATCATGTCTTTCTACTCAAATTATCAGCTATCAAAGATTAATGAGAGGGTATCAGAACTATTGGTTGATGTACAAGTGGTATCATTAATGCCTCAGCCTTGTAATGTTTTTTGATGAAATAATCCATACCTGCCACCAGCAGAAATACTCGCCGTCCTTTAGTAAACAAAGAATATTGTCATAATTTAATGTGGCTTTATTGTAATGAAAATAGAATACCTGGCCTACATCTGTTACTATAGGTGTTAAATTCTTCTCCTATCTACAGTTGTGTTTACTTTGCATTGTGTTTATTTAGTTTTTTATAATTTACTTGGATGTCTGTACCTACATTTTTATCTCTTATTTTTATCTTGCCTCTTTATCAGGAAATCATGATTTGAACCTTAACAATAATTGGGTTTTTTTTGGTGGTAAAAATCAACATTGGTTCATGGCACATGTTTTTACTTTATATGCTTGCTTATTGTTAACTATTAATGTGCTGCTGTATTTACATATATGATTACATACTTCACACATTTTCTCTAACATATTTTAGTATCTATATTTCTTAGAAGGTCTCAGCAGACTAGGAAATTGTCAGTTGAATGTTAATAAATTAGGAAGCAGTCTTTTTCTAGTAAACTTTCCTACCTATTGCTAAAATAACTTTTTAAAAGTTTTAATTTCTCCCTTCATAAAGTTTTTTTGTTTTGTTTTGATTTTTAGATTGCTTTGGAGGCAGAAGTTGGGAATTACTTGATTTAGAACAGATTTTATCCAGATGGTACAAAAGGCCGTAACAGTAAGTCTAGAGGTAGGAGTGGGAAGAACTTGCTTACAACAGCAAGGCAATCAAAGCTGCAGAATGGTGGACAGGATACCACCTGAGAAGGGAGACCTGGGGAGGTAACTCTAGTCTCAGTGTTCTCGTTTGTGCATCCACACGATAGGTTGGATCATTTAAAAACATTTTTAAAGAAGTCTTCTTAGAAATGGAATGTTCTTATAATATTAAGGGAAGGGAAGGCACTGTGAGACCTGTCAGTTTTGTTGCTCCAGGGCCAAAGGGAACAGTTTGATAACCACTGGATTAGAGTCCTGAGAGTCTAAAATTAATGGACATTTTAAAATCCATTTGTTTGAAAGTTTGAGATTCTGCTGATTGTTCAAAATAAATTTCACTTTAATTTCTCCTTAGACATGTTACTTTTCCATATCAAGAAATATATTATGTGATTACAGTAATATACTGCTGACCCTGACCTTCAGGGGTGAATTAGCTCTGAAACACTCTCTCCAGCCAGTAATGTGTTTGTCCCACATTTCATTCTAATGGAGAGTGATGAACACCACAGCACCAAACAAATCCGAGGGGTTAGATAATGTCTGGGCGGAATGTAAGACTCTCTGGGACTCTGGTTGTCGTTTTTGATTTATACCTGACTTTTCATCACTTTCTATTAGCTCATTGGTCACATTCCTAGACAGGTTTGTGTCTGTTCCTCCTTTCTGAACCCTGTTTGTAAAAACACCTCTGGGGAGGTTGCTCGCTTCTTTTTATTCCTTTTTTTTGGTCTCTCCCCCTCCCTCATTGTCATATTTTGTCCCCCACTATTAAGCAGTTTTATTTTGGGTTTCTTTAAATATTTATTTTGACAGCAGTTGATTGATGTCAAGCTCTTGAAACTTTTACTTTCTACACATATAGACTTGTAATTATTTTCATTTTTCAATCATAGATTCAAGCTTTCTTTTATTTATAATAATCCATTAAAAGTTGTTTATGTTTCTGTGTCTTCTATGGAAGTTGTCTATTCTGTACTTCTGAAGAATGAGACTTGGTTAAGACTTGGAGGAAATCTTTCAGCTAATCAAAACATTTTTTTTTAGCACTAATGCTTTTTAATTACTTTCGGATAGAAGTATTTCTAAAGTATATTAGATACCTTATTACTTGAAATAAATAATTTTTTTTCTGAATACAATGTAACCTTGATTGTTTGGAATCATCATTAAATATAGTTTTTGTAGATAAGGTTCACCGTTTATCTGTCTTGCTTTCTTTTGAGCCTGCTCTGTGAATGTTGCTATTAAGTAACCTCTGCATAGATGACTGTTATGTTTTGGGAGGTTTGGAGTTTCCTGTAGAAATAAGGTGCGGGGTGGGGTGGGTTACATGACACATCAGCTCTTACTGCCTCCATGGGCTGGTGTAGAAAAAAGAGTCAATATTGTTCTAAAGGCTTATGGACCTCATCACAGTCACAAATGTCTGTTTTATTCTCCAATCAAAACACATTAAAATGGCAGGAAATAATGCTTATTTAATAACCAAAGCCACTATTTTGTTTGAAGATGGACCAAACTATATATTGTAAACTTAACGTACTAGGGGGGACTCTAAAAAAATGGAATTATCTTCTGAAGGGCAGGCCCCTTGTAGTACAGGCTTCGTCCGCTAGGTGAGTGTTCTAGGAACCCATCTGTATCAGCGTACCTGCTGGTGTTGCTGTGAGAGGCTGTGAGAGGCTGTGTTTGGCTTCAGTGAACTTTTTTTGACGACTCTTTGAACACATTTGCCCATTTCATGATGGGTGATTTACGAATGCACCTGTCCACACCACACTGAGTGTTAAAAATGGCATAACCTCTGTCCCTTGCCCTCCCTGTTCATGAGCCAGACCTCTCAGCACTGTGTCACAAACCCTTTTGGCCACCTCAGCCCTCCTGCCCTGTAACCTTGGGGTAACCTAGTTTACATATTTATTTTAAAAAATGGAAGCTGATCTTCTCTACCGTTATGACGTCCATTATGTGTGACACTTATTTTCATTATTAATATTACAGTTTTGCTGAAATAATTCCTATTTTCCTGCTGGATCAAATAATATTACCAAAACATTTTGCCATCAGTGAAACAGAGAGGCCTTTTCCTAGATTTTACCAGTGTAGCAATGTTCAAGTTTTTAAATAACTCTGCTTACAAAAGTATATTATAATTACTCTAGAAAATTCACAGAGTACAGAAATACAAGTAAGAAAATAACCCCCAAATCCAGGAATCATAAAGTGACTATTGTGTTGTTTGGCTTTACAGTGTTAAACACATCTTGAATGCTACTGAAGGGCAAGGGTGCTTCAGTTCTCCGCAGTTCCCACTACTTACTGTCTAACCCCTTCCACTTTATTTATTCGCTTGGGCCTTGGAAATAGTAAGTTAACCCACAACCCAAAATAACAACTAGTAACATTCTTGTCTTTTTTTTCTATTCAAATATACACACACACAGCTTTTATAGCTAAGGAGTAAACCCTGAGTAAACTTTTACTCCATAATTTCCCATGTAATTAAATATTTTTATCCATAAGTGTCAATAGTTGCAGCCTATCAACATGTATTATAATTTATAACCAAATCCCTGCTAGTGAATATTTGGGTTATTTCTATTATAGATAAAGCTATATAAACAGTTAAAAACAAAAAACAAAAACCCAGTTCATTGCAGTGTTATTTACCATTACCAAGATATGGAAGCAGCCCAAGTGTCCATCAGTAGATAAGTGGATTAAAAAAACTGGGACATTTATACAATGGAATACTACTTGGTTGTAAACATGAAGAAAATTTTACCTTTTGCAACAGCATGGATGGACCTGGGGAGCATTATGCTACGTAAAATAAGCCAGTCAGGAAGACAAATACCATATGATTTCACTCATGTGGGATCTAATGAATAAAAAAACTGAAGTAACAAGCAAAACAGAGACAGACTCATAGATGGAGAGCAGATGAGACAGCTATGGGAGTGGAGTGGGGGTCAGAGGGCGGAGGGATCGCGCGTAAAGGACTTGTGGACAACAGTGTGGTGATTGTGGTGGGGAGGGGGTATAAGGGGCCTAAATGGTAATGGAAAAAATAAAATTAAAAAAAAAGTTATAATAAATATTGAGTGGGAGATTTTCTTTAAAATGTGAAACCAAGTCACCATCTGTCATTACCATTTTATAAGATGCAATGTACAGCATATACATTTAAATTAAGACAGTCATGCTTAAAATATATAAATTGCAAAATGAGCCTTAATTGACTGCTATGATGTTCATACGTTGATGAGACTACATGGAAAGTTTAAAACATTCCAACTCTTAGGGGTTAGAAACTAACCAGAAAATGGGGGTGTGGGAGGGGGAAGGAGTTCTAGGCCTTTTGGTAGAGACCTCAGAGGTCATCATACCTGTGGGGAGACACCGTTTTAAGATGAGGAAACAGGTCCAGAGAACTCTAGATCACAGCTTATTGTTGGCAGGGCCCAGATTAAAGACACGTGTTCTCTTTGTCCCTCACCACCTCCCAGGGGACATTGCATCTTTAAATAAATTGAAGTATTTGCTGTTCCAGAGACTGGGATTTGACTTCTACTTGAATGGACTGATCAGGCTGGCCCAGGACATGTAGCAGGGAGCTGGCTTCTACCCCACATGTGCTGGAACCCCACCTCTGTGTCAGCTGACTTCACTAATTCACCTGGTTTTGAGACTAGAAAGCATCTTTTTTTTTGTCTCAACCCTTATTCCCAGTAGCCACAACCAAGCGGTCAAGCTGATAAAGCAGATGGATGGATTTGCTATCATTAAACTGAGCCATGCTTTAAAAACCTAAGTGATCTTCATATTTGTTGCTGTCCCCAGAGCATAGAAGTTTACCAAAGTATAGGACATATTGCAGCCAATACTTGTGGCTCAGTACAGAAGTGATTCTGGACGGGGAGGACACGCCTTCCTTGGAGGTGGAAAGGCTTAAGAA